AAGAGAGGGGCGGGGTCAGCAGAGCTCATTAACATTTAAAGGAAAATGCTACAGAATGGCTTGATCTGAAGAGCTGTTTTTGACAGGGTAAAAAAGTGTTGAGAAATTTTAACCAAACTATGTTACTTTTCATTAAGACCCTAAAGAATCATATAAACTTGTGGAAAATGGGCATCATGTGACCCCTTTAAGGGGTTTAAGTAATTTAAACTCAGTGGGACAGAAAACAAATGCTAAATTCAAATCAAATATTTCTGGGCCTATGCAGTTTATGGTATTAATAGGATACATATTAACACTTAATTGGAGTTTAGACATCAGTTTTTACTTACAGCAAAACCATTTTTACTTTATTTTTTGTAATTTTGTTTTCTAAATGTGTTTATATTTATTAAATATAGTTTTTCGATTTACTTTTTTAGTTTAGGCTACTAGTTTTAATTATTTTAGTAGGTCAAGTTAAACTAAATGAAAAATGTTGCCTTGGCAATAGCTGAAATAAAAATATTTAGCCAGTTATGTCATTTCAAATAAATGTTTTATGGTTTTATTTTTAGTTAACATTGTTGAGAGAGCCACTGTACTGCACACCTGCTGGCCAATAGAAAGAACTGCAGCAGAACGCTGCCATTTTAATAATAATAATAATAATAATAAATGCATTTAGCAGACGCAAAGCAACTTACAGTGCATTCAGGTTATACTTTTTTTTACCAGTATGTGTGTTCCCTGGGAATCGGACCCACGACCTTTTGCGCTGCTAACGCAATGCTCTACCACTGAGCCACGGGAACATCTTAGAACCAAAACAAACGTTAATGGCCTCCTTTTGAAGACTTTTATATTACAAGAGCATATCAGCACATGAGAAATGAAATCGCTTTCTTTAACAACAATTGAGCTGAGCTATCTGTTCCAAGAAATGACAATACAAAAACCTGTTGAAAGGAATCTTGATCATCTTTAATCCATGTTTAACAGATTGTGTCCTGGGGACCGTCAGAATACATAAAACAGGACCATGACACATGGAATAAGCATCTCATTTAGGAATGGCAATAAAAAAAAAAAAAACACTATATAGTAAGGAATGTGCATGGTTGGAATGGGAAAAGGGAGTAAGAAACAATTAAAGTTGGCCACAATCGGCAATCATGACCTTGGCAGAGCATTTCCCGCTGCTGCTTCCTTTAGCCTCCATGGCATCCACTACGCTCAATCCTTCTACCACTTTCCCGAACACAACGTGTTTGCCATCGAGCCTGTTCATGGAGAAACAACAAGCAGCTTTAGCACTAACATCAAATGGAAATCCTCTAAACATGTTTATATTCTAAAGAACTTTTAGTGCAATGGAAAGGTTCCAAAGATGTTGAAGGTTCTTATTTTTAAGAGTGTACGCAAACATTAATCTCAAAGAAGCCGTTTACCAAGTAGTATCAGCGGTGCAGATGAAGAACTGGGAGCCGTTGGTGTTCGGTCCGGCGTTGGCCATGGACAGGGTTCCCTTCCCTCCATGCTTCAGGGTGAAGTTCTCATCTGCAAACTTGTTGCCGTAGATAGACTTTCCACCGGTTCCATTATGATCGGTGAAGTCGCCACCCTACATCACGAGAGCGTGACATCAGTTTGAGCTGAAATCATTGCGTCTGATGACAGGACGGGGTTCAGATCTTACCTGGCACATGAATTTGGGGATGACACGATGAAAGCCAGAGCCCTTGTAGCCAAAACCCTTCTCACCAGTGCACAAAGCACGGAAGTTCTCTGTTTAGATATGGAGACATTAATGCAGGAGAAGACAGTGTCTACATGCATTTATAAGAAACACATTTAATGTGGAAAAAGATACTTACCAGCAGTCTTGGGTACAACATCAGCTCTCAGCTGTTTCAAAAGGAGGGGAAAAACAAGAAACTGAAATTAAGCTTAGAACGTGAGAATGTCAATGGATTTCTATTGTCAGATATGCTTGGCCATTTTAAGATCAGATTATATATATATATATATAGTAGTGCTGTCAAACGATTAATCGCTTCCAAAAAAGTTTGTGTACATAATGTGTGTACAATTATTTATATATATATATATATATATATATATATACACACACACGCATGTTTATATATTAAACATTTATATAAATACATTTTAGGTCTTCTTCAAGTAAAATTCACTTAAGATCAAGTAATTTGTGGTTTAAGACCATGTTATATCACATGGAGCTAGTTTGTGGTCGTCTTTGGGCAAAAAAAGAAATAAAACTCTAAAAATAAAATAGAAATAAAAAGTCTGCCTGTTTATTAAGAGAATTACATTTATCCGTGTTTGTTTTCTTCAAGTTACAACAGAGACACTTTGGCTTTCCCCGTGTGATTTCTGAAGTGTAGTACTTTAGATCAACACTGAAGTGAATTCCTCATCTAATTTAGATTTAAAACAGGAGCTGCAATGAAAAAAAAACAAACAATGACCCACCCCACACAATGTCATTTACACCACACGAGTCCGATGTAAGATGAGGAGTCTTTCTACAAATGATTCGAGAGAAGAGCGGGAACTCTTTCAAACTGAAATTCACAATAAAATCTCCACAGAGTTCAGAGAAGCAGACAAACAGTAACATTGTCACAGGAGGAAAAGTCAAACAAAAAAAGATCTTCGTTGCACCTTCCCACGAGTCACTGCATTCCAGTCTCAGGAGGAAACAGTGCAAAGACGTAATCGGATATCTGTTCCCAAAACTCCCCTCGACGAGCCGGGAGTGTGAGGGGTCAGGAGGCTGTATGTTGGACGGCGATGTGCGACTGATGAATGAGCGGGACGGGGGGCTCAGTTGCTCTCGAACAGAGCGAGCAGGTCATCGTTACTGTTGTTGGGAAGGTCTGGAGGACCCAAGTAAGACAGCAACTCATCTGGGTTTGTCAGCTCTGGGAGAAGCTGGAAAACAAATAGGGAATTCCGGAGTTAAGAATCATCCTGTGGCAATACTAATGACACTCAAAACACTGTTTATAATCATAATAATAAATACAACATAGCTGGCTTTTCAAAAGACATTCACAGACATTTCTGTTTCCAACAGTGCTGGGAAGTCTGTGAATCAATTCTTTTGAAACGTTTGTTCAATGAATCAGCTGAAATTCCAAATCAGTGAATCTTTTAAGTAATCACTAGGTCCGAATGGAATCTTTTGAACTGATTTTGGAGGGAAATCTCTGGAAATTCTTTAATCATGGGAGTTTTTAGTTCACCCAAAAATGAAAATGCTGTTATCATTTACTCACCTTCATGTCGTTCCAAACCCATGGGACTTTGGTTAATCTTCTAATCACAAATTAAGAAATTTTAATGAAATCGGAGATGTTTCTGTCTCTCCAGGTAACCAAAACTTAGAAGATTCAAAAAGGCCATAAAGGCGTCACAAAAATAATCCATATGATTTGAGCCATTTAATCCAAATTGTGTGAAGGTATCTCATCACTTTATACAGTATGATTAACAGATTAACTTTAGTCTTTTATTTACAGCTAAGCAATGACTGACACATACATAGAGCGCATCACATATGGTAAACATGGAAGCTGAAACATGCATCCATGATGTGAGAGAACAAACAAGATTTGTTACAGTGTGTGACATTCACAAACTTCCAGTGTTTATCAAATGTGATTCGCTCTGAATGTGTCTTCATGCATGAACAAAAGCCTAAATAAAAACGTATAATATTTAAAGCGATTGTATCTCTTCACAAGACTTGGATTAAACAGCTTGAATTGCGTGGATAAAATGTTATGATATCTTTTGGATCTTTTTTGAAGTTTTAGTTACCTGGACTTTCAATGGAGGGATAAAAACCTGTCAGGTTTAATTAAAAATATCTTAATTCTTGTTTCAAAGTCATACAGGTTTGGACAGATATGAGGGTGAACTATATCTTTAAGAATAGAACACTGTAACCAATATTCCAAAATAGTTTATAAGTGCAAATGTGGGGCTGGCCGTTACCCAAAAGTGTTTGCAAAATCTTTCAGAGAAGGAGAACGAACAGCTTTAAACATGCATAACTGCAGGCATAGGACCTAAATTAAGCAAGAACGGGTGGGAAGAAGATCATTATAAGTTGGTAGTGGGTGTACATGGAGTAAAATCCCACAGGAAGGGGCGGTTGTGCTCAACAGACCTTCAATTTAAAATGTTGACACCATGGCCAAAAGTCATTGCTTTGATCTGGAATAGATGATTGATTCTGACTTACATCAAGAGCCGGCTCTGAAATGTCGCCGGGTCCCCCGGGGCCCCCCAGGCCAAAGCTGTCTGTGTGCATCCGGGGATTCTGGGAGGAGTTGCGGGAGTGCATGGGTCCACCGGGGCCACCCATGTTGGAGTTACCATGGAGAGGTTGATGCTGCTGTTGTTGAAGGGGATTGTGGGAAGGGTCCATGCGACTAGAGTGGGGCACCTTTATTAAGGTGGGCAGGTGTAAAGAGAAAAAGAGACAGTCAGTGAAGCTGGAACACACTCTGCACATTAATTTAAAGAGCAAACCCGTCTTGTTCTTCTTTTAGAGTGGGTGAGATGCAGCAGCTGCGAGTGACAGACAGGAATACTGCGCTGTGCTGTCGCACACAGAGACATTTGAGTAGCTCTTATACGCTGCAACATACGGGGACGACAGAAACCAAGACACCAGTAAAACACACTTGGGTATCCAAGGTGAGGGTCATTTTAGTACAATACGTGCAGCAAACCAGCTTCATTAATTCAAGCCATATAGTCAAATACATACATGGACTTAGACAATTATTTCATTTTGGCCTTTTTGCTAGCTAGTTGGATGGATGGAAACACAGATGGAGCAATAGATGCATAAATGGATGAATGTACAAAAAGATGGGTGAAGAATAGAAAGAGATGGACTGACAGAAAAATAGATGGATAGAAAGACAAAGACAGATGATAGATAGATAGATAGATAGACAGACAGACAGACAACCAATTTCTTGTGGTGAAATTGTAATAATAGGAAAACACACCTGTCCTGACATCGGGTGTCCCACAGGTTTTTCAGGGGTAAGGAGGCCACTCGGCAGGTCAGACTGGTAGGAGAGAGGGGGCGGCCCAGAGGCAAACTCCCCCAGGGTCGGTGTGCCGGGGGCATTGGGGAAATCTGAGAAGCCTGGTTGGTTGGAATATCCTGAGCCTCCTGAAATACATGCATTAATAAGTCAGCTGGAGGTCAAAACGCATTTACTGAAACATTTTCATGTTCATATAAATGCTTTTGTGGTCACTAAGAGCCCTTTACAGTTGGATATGACACCTACCTTGGATGGGATAATCAGGCGTGCTGCTGCTGCCACCTTGTGGCATAGACTGGTAGGGTGAGGAGGCTGGGCCTAAAGCTGCAATCATCTCCATGACGCTGGGCAAGATCATATGACTAGGGCTCATGGTGCGACAGCGTTTCAGGGCAGGGCCATCTGGGTCCTCTTTAATATGCAGGTCTGGTTTCACCGGGACCGGCTTCCAGCTGCACACCGGATCAATGGTGATTTCCTCATAGTCCGAACTAAACACCAGGAGAAAGTTGAAGTTTAAGAGTTGAAGTTTAAACTCTTAAGTTTAAGAACTAGCTGCAGCTTATAGTGGCCAAGAACCTTAAAGGGATAGTTCACCCAAAAATGAAAATTACACCATGCAGAGGTTATATAAAAACTTACTTCTGGATGTAGATCAGAATGCCCAACATGTACTGGTCCACTTCTAGCCCCTCCAGAAGGGCTGTTTTACTGTAAAGATCAGATCAGTTTGAAAAACTGTACAAATATGTCATATATATACACCATAAAATACACATTTTCAGGAATGCACTTGATGCACAATTCACAATATGATATTATTTAGGCAAATAAGACCAGCCAATAATTAATTTTTTTTTTTAATTTTGTAAATATGTATTATTCTAACATTAATATTAATACTAATTCCTTATTTTTTACTCATATTAAAACAAGCAATAATATTTGTATTAATATTAATATAATATTTTATCTTATAAATAAAAATATAATATTATTATTAACAATAATATATCTTAATATTAAATGTTAAATTGTATACTATTTTGCCTATATAAATTACAAAGAAAACATTAAAAACTAAAATCATTCATGTAAATATTAGAATTTTTAAAAGTGAATTTAGGCATCATAACATTATAATATATAGTACAAGAAATGCATATTCATTCTGAGATTTGTTATAGACTACATTTAGCACCGTTATTAAAGTATTAGCGGTTTTAGTAAGTTTAAGAGAATTTTGCCGAAATAATATTGGCAGATTACTACTACGATATGGATATATTGTGTATCCCTAATCATAATGGCGCGTTTCCATTACCCTTCAAATTGCGCAAATTGAAATTGCGAATTGAAAATACACCTAATGGAAACACGTCAATTTCGCAAAAACGGCCATATATCGCAAAAAAGTTTTTACGCTCGCATGAGGTGGTTTTTCAGGCAATGCGAAAAAGGATTAATTCGCAAAACTGCAATGGAAACGGCTTTTTCGCATTTACAGGTCACATGGCGTATGTAAAAATTCATATGATCATTCTTCAACGCACTATAACCTCCAAGAAACACTTCATAAGTGGCCGTGCTCCAGTATAAGGGGCTTTCCCTACTATTAATACTTAGACAATTTACATTGCACACGTCTGCGGTGCAGTGTGGCTCTGATCCGGTCACTGAAGCTGACTCAATGCTTGTGTTAATGTTTTTATACAGTCGATGGTTTATTCCAGCCGCGCCACGCACGTTTCTGAAGCAGATCTCTTTGCTGCTTCTGTAAAGATACATGCATAAGCCTCCTTTGAATAAATATAGCCAAAATCCGTCAAAATCCCACTAAAATCCGTTGCCATGACTTATCGCGAGAGGCAAAAGGTTACGTTTTAGCCGCATAACATTGGTTACTGGAAACGCCGTCATTTCGCAATACTTTTTTATCGACATTCAGAAAATATCGCCAAAGTTTTGCGCAAATCTGTAATGGAAACGCACCTACAGTCTTAGTTTTAAAACAACAAAAATTCCATGGAGATGAACGGCAAAATGAGAAATTTCTTACTTGCACACAGGACAACGCCAAGTTCCTCTCTCACAGTTGAGCTGCAGGTACGATTCCAGGTCGAAGCACTGTGCACCAACAAAGAAGTTATTTACCACAGAAATTCACTTTACAAAGTCATGTGATTCAAACGTAAGCTAGCGGGCCTCCTCACCTGTATATGTCTGCAGTCGTGGCCCCTGGCAGGAAGCTGGATGCGTCGGAAGGTGATCGGACACTTGAGCGACACCTTGATGGCCGTCTGTTCCACACCATCCTCGCCATTGAGGCCGGGAGTTCCTGGGATGGTACCGCTACTGAAGTTCCTCTTAACTACGGAAGAACAAAGAAGGATGAGTTGACATTTTTCTGCTTTTATTTGATAAAGAATACAGTAATATTGAGAAATATTATTACAAGTTAAAATAACTTATCTATTTGAATATATTTAAAAATATATTTCTGTCATGCAAAGCTGAATTTTCACTTGAATTACTCCAGTCTTCAGTGTCGCAGGATCCTTCACAAATCATTCTAATATGCTGATTTGCTGCTCAAGAAGCATTTCTCATTATTATCAATGTTGAAAAAGTTGTGCTGCTTAATATTTTTGCAGAAACTGCAATACTTTTTTCAAGATTCTTTGATGATCACAAAGTTCATAAAGATAGCATTTTTTTTAGAAATAGAAATCTTTTGCAACATAATAAATATCTGTATTGTCACTTTATCAATTTAATGCATCCTTGGTGAATTTAAGTATTAATTTCTTAAAAAAAAAAAAAGTGTGTGTAAAAGTGTTCACTTACTCTTAGTGACACAGTGCTCCGCTGGCAGGAGCCTCTTCTTCATCAGACCCTGCAGCACGGAGCGCACAGACGGCCTGTGAACCAGCTGCAGCACGAACAGATGAGACTGCGAGAAAAAAGAAACAGGAAATGAATGCTGACCCACATAAAACTCTTATTAGTAGGACTGTTTGTAATTAAGCAGGCATTTTCTGAAGGAAATGTGCGATGCGAGTCTCTGTACTTACACAGCAGCAGGCCGTGACTGTTATTTGGATGGTGTTGCGTCCTGGCTGGCACACTTGCTTCAGGTAAAGGGGTTTGTGGGAGGTCTTGTTGTCCCCGCGCTCAATGGTGAGAGGCGTGGCGTTGACGCTCACCTGCACCGATGCCGGCCAGTTAGTGTTCATCTGCCGGTCTTCATGGTGATAGCACTTAAACTGCAGCTCCAGGTCAGGCCTGTTAAAACACATGATAGATCAGATTAAATGTTAAATATGACAACACTGACATTCACAAACACAAAGACTCCTTGAGATGCTACAAGGTATGAAATGGTCTGACCTCATCATAAGGGTCTTATACACGGAGTCTCGCAGCTGGAAGACGTGGTTGCTGACAGCCAGGTTGTGCTCCAATCTAAAGGGCTCCAACACCACCCCGTCCCGTACAGGGAAGGTCAGGCGCAGGTCATCACTGGGGTTTCCTACAGACAGAAGAGTTTCAGTTACTGAGGTGTCACACGGCTTTCATTTATATCTCATTGGGCAAGAAACAAAGGCATCTTATAAATATCGAAGACGCACCAAGTTTTTTTTTCAACAGGCATACTGGACTTTTTGTTGACGATTACCTGTGTGTTTCAGTTTCTTGTTTCAGTTTAGCTTGTTTTAAAGCAAACAATGTCAAACTTAAACTATCCTACCCTTTACCCGATGCAGTGTTGCTATTATCTAGAACTAAAACTAATAAAATCGAACTGAAAGCTGAAATAAAATAAAATGTAAATATTAGATGAAAAACTGTTTGACGCCAAGTCAACATTTCTAATTTTTTAAGTTGAAGTACTAAAACGACTACAAATAAAACTAAAATATAAAAAGAAATTAAAGCTAAATAGGAAAATAACTAATAAAATGACAAAAGTACTTATCAAGATGATTACAACTAAAATAAAATTAAAAAAAAAAAATTCTAAAAAAGCTAATTAAAATATTGATAAATACTATAGTAGTATGTAAATAATACTAATATAACACTACCTTTATGTGAAATAAAACAGCTTTATATGAAGTTTTCATTTTATATGATTGAGAATTATTTTAACTAATTTCAGCTTTTTTAAAAACTATTTTGGTATTGTGACAATTTTTGAGTAAAACAGAGCATTTGACGAAGAAAAAAAAAAAAGACACGCAACTTTGAATCCATCAAGAATCTACTTGATTGGTGGTCTTTATATGACGTGGTTAAAATTGTTAAGTAAATTACTATATTTTGATAAAATATTCTGAAGACTAACGTTTTGTTTTCTCAGGAACAACATATGCACGTAAACCGTTCACAATAAAGCCAGTAAAAATGGTTCTTTCTGATTTCATGCCAACTTTAAAAAATATCAATGCGATAATTCCATGTGATAAGCATTTAATGTGACAGCAAAACTTTTTTATTTCCATTTACATCACAGAGAATTATAAACACATTCCAGAGATATGGGGGGGGGGGGG